ATAAAGTTGGCAAAAGAATTACGAAAGAAGGCTACCAGCATTGTTGGAACAATCAACCGAACAAGAAAGGATATTCCACCGTCAGTAAAAAATGAAAAGATGGAATTGTACAAAACAAAAATTTTCAAACACGAAGACTTGACGCTAACGGCGTACCAGGAAAAAGTCAACAAAAATGTTCTAGTGCTGAGTTCTTTACACTCGAATGATATTAAAATGGGCACAGATAAAAAGAAAAAACCGGAAACCATCATCTTCTACAACCAGACAAAATACGGAGTAGACGTTGTAGATCAGATGGCTAGACTGTATTCAACCAAATCTGCTTCAAGAAGATGGCCGTTGCAAGTTTTTTTTAATATTTTAGATATGGCAGGAATAAATGCTTGGGTTCTGTATAAGAAAGTTACGGGCAGTCAAATATCTAGGCAGGATTTCCTACTTCAGTTAGCAGAAGAATTGCGAGAAGATCACATGACTAAGGGCAGGACAACATCAACGGATACAAATCCAAGAGGTACAAAAAAACCACCAAATAATAAACGTAAGCAGTGTCAAACAGGGAATTGCAACAAAAATAAAACATTTGAAATTTGTCATATATGTAAAAAATTTGTGTGTGGGTCATGTACAAGCAAAATTGAAAAATTTTGCTACTGCATAAATTGTACTTAAATAATTAAATAATTTATTTAAATATATTAAATATGTCTTTTATTATTAGTTATTAACTCAATATAGGTTTTTATCAAATAAAAAAGAATACAAAAACGGCTGGCAATAGAAAATTCTAATATCCGTCATTTTGACCGCCGGTGGTGCTTCTAGGTATGCACAAATGCTGGTGCTTCTAGTGTTAGAAAACGCTATTGTGTGATGAAAAGCATTTATACATGTTTTGAATTGTTTGTTACGTGAAAGTTTAAATTTAGCGTTTTTAGGCATATTTCAAATGCTACTTGTTACCAAAACTCAAAACCGAAATTTCACGCTTTAAATTTTAAATATATGTTATAACAAACAAATATATACATCCATCAAAAATAAGGAGGATGCCTTAACTCTGCAGATGTAGGTGGCGACCATAGCCTGGTATTATGCAAAATAAGAATTATTACGAAATACTTGACACGCAAGAGAGCTGCGCTAATACAAACAAAAAGAAGAGTTGAAGTACTAAATAAGGAATCCACGGAATACTTATACAGAAAAAGAATATCATAAGAGATTGCTAGAAATGAAATAATAAAAAACGATAACATCGAGAAAAGTTGAGAAAAACTCAAAAATAACATAAATAATGCTGTACCCGAATCACCTAGAAAGAGGAAAGTAACAAACAGTAACATATCAAAAAGAAAATTGCTTGGTTTAGAGAGAAAGTGAAGACACAATGTTAACAAAAGAAAAAGCCTTTTTTATAATACAAAACTCAATAAACACAACAGGCATACAACCAATATAAACGAATCAGAAATAAAACGAATACTTAAGTTGAACAAATAAAAATGGAATACTGGCAGAGCTTCTCAAAACAGATGAAAAATGACGTCGACTGTACAGAAAAAGAAATATGAAGAATGATTGGAGGTCAAAGCAAAGGGATGAACCAACATGGGCAGACTATATTCGAGTACTATTTGCTAAAGGTGACCATAATGAACCACCAACACCAGAAGAGACGGCAAACGAAGAAATAGATATTGAGGAGGAAGACGTAAAGAAAGCATTAAGAAAATTAAGAAACAGAAAACTACCAAGAGAGGACAGAATACCAAACGATTTTCTTAAGTACAAAGGACCAGATCTGTCCAAACAACTACTAAAACTAATCAAAAAAATAAAAGAATAAAACAAAATTCCTAAGAAATGGAAATTAGCATCCTAAACACCTCTCTTTTAAAAGGGAGACAAATGCTATCCGGAGAATTACAGAAAAATTATTTTATTTAACACAAAACTTAAATTAACAACAGAAGTGATGAAAATAAACATCATGAAATTATAACACTATCAGAAGAACAGCAAGGTTTTAGGTCGGTTATAGCGGCGCAATATTTATAATAAGGAAAGTGGAAGAGAACAAAAGTAAAAATAGAACAAGAACTAACTGGACCTATTGAAGCCGGTAATGGTATATGACATCGGGGATGTTATAAGTCCTCTCTTGTTTAACCTTATTCTGGATAAAATAATAAAAAAAAGCATACCAAATGGGAACAAAACTGTTTTAAATAATCTGCTATGCAGACGATGCAATAGGAACATGTTATGTTACCCAAAAAATACAAAATGCATGGCTATAACAGCAAATTTAATAAGATGTAAATTGGAGCTGGAAGGTCAGATAATGAAACAAGTGATGGAGTTTAAATATCTAGACATCATATTATCTAGCTACGATAGCTCGAAACAAAGTGGAAGATCAAGTAAATAGAGGAAACAGAGCCGCAGGTTGAATAAAACAATATAAAGATATAAATATATCGGCAAAGAAATAAAAGCCAGAATTTGCAAAACAGTTATTAGACCAATAGCGACATACGTGGCAGTAACTCAACCTGATACATACAGGACAAAATTGATGTCAGAAACAGCAGAGAAAAATTAAAATTGATGGTAAAACACTATGGGACAGAGCTAGAAGTACATATATATATATATATATATATATATATATATATATATATTATATATATATATATGTGTGTGTGTGTGTGTGTGTTTATTGTAATATAAGGTGGAGAACATCAAAGTCTGGGTAAGAAATAGAAGAGTAGAATAGAACTATCACAGAGGCCAAATGACAAAAAATAGAAAAGTAAAGACGCAAGAGACGGTTCTGTATGTTAAACAAGAACGACGCCATTCCGTGGACACACGATAGGACAAATAATTTAATTTTAAATGAACTAAAGGTCAGCAAACGGCTCTCCAACAAAGTCCATCTCTAACAATTAAAATAGAGCCAAAAATCACGAGGGAGATTCCGAACTAGACGAATCGACCAGATTACAAGAATATGCAAAATACCAATGCGTAAATTCAAAGAAATGACCAGAGACAGAGATCATTGGAGACAACAAAACCTGACATCACGTTGAATACATAATACACGCTCCGGAGTATCAGAAATGAAGAGAAAGAAAGAGGGACCTTTACTTTATATGTATTCGATTACACATTGATTTATTTCAAATTTCTTTTTCTCGTGTCGTAAAAAAATATTAGGAGTAATAACACAATGTAAGTTTCTTGTTTAAAAGGACCACGACGGTCATATAACCCTTTCGAGTCTGACGGGACGTATGTATCCCAGGCATAAAATCATAAAGTCTGTTGGACTAAATCTGAACCGTTTTACATGAATTTTTATTATGTTTTTAAGAACCGACTTTTTAAGAACTTAATAATAATAGTTTGTGTAAGCGTCAACATTGCCAAACGTTTTCGCGCTGTATTTTCCAGTAATGTTGATCTGTGGATGTTTTTAGGCAGTTTGATATGTTTGATATGATTACCACAGTAGCAGTTGTATGCTGTTACTGTTGTTGCGAATTTTTTTTGTGAGTACAGCAACCTACAAAAAAGGTAAATATATTCAATAAAACTAGTATTTTGTTTTGTGGGTGATATATATCACAACAGATATTTATGGTGGATTATATGTACCAACAATCTTGTTTTGTTATAAATAAGTAGAAAGATATTGACGCAAAACAAACTAAAGGAGAAGGCAGAAGCCATTTTTGCCAGCGATACAGAATTAGACGTTGATCCTTTTAAGACTAGTGGCTCCGATAATGAAGGCTACAATCCATCAGAATTCTAAGGAGAAGTAAAATGAGAGCGTCATGAAATAGATTTATGTCCCGAGGGCAATAAGATGGATAAAGAGAATTGGATGATAAGTGACGAAAGTGATGAAGAAAGTTATAGTGAATAAAATGATAAAGAAGGCAAAGATACCAGATCGACCAGGTATTTGGTTTAATAACGATGGAACTTTGTTACCACGTTTTTCGGTTCCATCAGAAACACAGTTCATTGTATTCTTCCTGATACCATGACCGAAATAAAATTATTTTTAAAAGTAAAAAAAAATTTGTTTAAAATCCTTTATAAAAGGTATATAAAAATGCCCCAAACGGGCTATCACAAACACATTGCAAAACGTTTTCGGATTAAACAATCCATCATCAGTGCAAACGGTTGTACATGCTAGTAGCCACCAAAATATATGGGTCAAAACCCTTTAAATGTTATAAATTTGTAGTTGTTTTACATTATTAGTATTTATAATTTAAGATGTTTAAGTTACCGTCCAAGAAAAGCCTCGACTTTACTTGGACGTCTTCCAGAAAAGAAACAAAAAAATTTTCAACGTGGAAGATCATTTACCTATTGAAGGACAGACCAGTAGAAGATGTCAACGATGTTCTTCTCAGAAAAAGGTAAAATGGACCACCACACTATGTTAGAGCTGCAATGTATCCTTGTGCAAAACATGTTTCACACCTTTTCATTTACATTTAATAGTGATCTTAATGTTAGTCCTTTTGTTTTCAAAATAATAGATTTTATTTGTATTTTCGATTTTCCTTTAATTTTCTTTACTAAAATAAAGTAATAATTTGGTGTCTGATGGCTTATTAGAGTGCCACATATATATTTAAAAAAAGTCTGACTAGGACATATATGTCCCGGACAAAATGAGAGATATAAAAGATAAAATTAATCTCAATCACTTTTATTTTTGCATAGTTATACGTTTTAAACAAAAAAAAGTTTTAAATTCCATACCGGTCCTGAAAAAAAGACTAACTCAAAAGGGATAAAATAGTTAAACGGCATAAAATAGCAGTGACCTAACCTGCCAGAACCGAAATTTGTAACCGCCCATCAGCCACGGATGACTGCACTGGCGGTTAACGTGTTAAGTAGAATTAGGTACAAAGACAAAAGACGTCATTTTAATATATTTCAATTTAATACAAAAGTTATTTTTTTAAAATATTTTGAATTTCTAAAAATGATTTTCCTTTTATTTCAGGTACGTAAAAATAAATAAACAGAAGAACACTTAAAGAACAAACAGCAAACACCCAAAACGTAAATGATTGACCTAAATACGTAAACATCAGAGGAAAAGTAAAGGTAGCAATAAAACCAAAAAACACCATTGAAATTGTAACGATCGGTGTTAAAGTATTTTTCAAATTAGAGGGAAATATTTCGGCAACGAAAGACCATGTTACTGGGCCAGAACCAAAGCGAAAGCTGACCATAAACAAGCATGTACTAGTTACTGGAACCCAGAATATATTATCCACATTGATATTTTGCTCTTGCAGAAAAAAGTAGGTACCGACGCTGATTAACGATATCAATATACCCGAATATGAAATCAATAATAATTTTTTTCTTCCTAATCGATCGATAAGCCTATGGCGATAAATACAGTAAGAAATTGAGCTATTGCTACTATAATTACAGAAATCTCGCTTGGAATGGTACTGCTAGTAGAACGAAAAATGTCTTGTTGGTAAGCATTGATTGGCTGTATACCACTTAATTGTTGACCTAACATTAGGCAGATAGTTATAAGTAGACCCTTCAATACAACTTTAGAAGCTACCACATCTTTAAAGCTACCTTTTTCCTGTGTGTGTTCATTATTTTTAATAATTTCGTTTAATTCATCCTTAACATCTGCTTTTTGGCGAAACTTTTGTAAAGAAGCCATAGCTTTGTTAGTGTCTTTATTAGAAACGTAGTAATAAGGACTTTCGGGTACAAACGGAAGGAAAGTACTAAAAAATAATAAAGAAGGTATTAGACTTAAGTAGGCAAATGTTCGCACAGAAACGTAGGGACCAATGGAAACGACGCTAACGTGACTAAGAGAATTCATAAATGTCAATAGTAAGGCGGTCTTGCCTCGATTCGACACATTAGATATTTCAGCTACAAAAGGTGGAACTACGCAATAGACGCAACCAAATCCCAAGCCAAGCAAAAATCTGGCAATATAAAAGTGAAAGACCCTATTAGCAAAAATTAACACTACATTGGACAACAGCATCGGTAATGAAAATAGCACTAGAGTCATCTTCTTTCCAATCCTATTGGCAATTTGTCCCGTAAAGAGTGGTCCACATAGGGATCCAATGCTAATAATTGTTGTTATCCATGACTCTTCAAGGACTGTGATTGGTTCTGGTAGGGGATTATTTTCTGGGCCCAAAACTCCCTTTAGTTTTGGTAAAAATGGAGAAGTCCAAGAAAATCCGATGTTGGTGGTAAACGTCATAAGGTTAACTAAAATAAATAATATAGAATTAATACTTATAAAGACAGTTACTACTCCTATGGTTTTTACTAGACAATACTAATACTTGTTAACTCAAAATAGAGTGTTAATTGAACAGCTCATTGTTACATACCATTAAGCCACAATGTTTCAATGTTCTATTTTATTGCACAATGTATATAAAGAAACCTGTATTAACCTACATAAAACCTAACCTAACCTCACCTACTGTTACAATAAATAAGTCCCACAAACATTCTTTTTTAATTCCGATATGTTTTAGATTGTCCAGGGACAGAGAATTAGTTTCTACCGGAAAAAGGCTGGTTTAATCCAACGACTAAAGAACGCTTTGCAGGAAGAGGGTCTAGACCCGGAAACTTATATATTTGAAGACAAACATGCTGCTGTCATCTCGTCGATTCGAAATTGGAGAGAACAAAGTTTCTAGTAACATCGCATCATTAGAGAACAAAGTTTCCGGCGACATCGCTTCTTTAGAACACAAAGTTTCTAACGAGATTTCTTCTCTAGAAAGCAAAGTTTCTGCTAACATCATCTTGGAGATATCTAAAGTCACTTCTGAGATGTCTGCCCTCGACGATAGAATGTCTTCGATATAAAACCAAGTTGCTGCTAATATGTTGGCCTTCGAAGAAAAGATGAAAGAGCTAGAAAGAAAGATGGAGCGAACAAGGACAGCAGAGAGAGGAAGCAATCCAATTAGAGTAGAGACAAAAAAAACGAGACGAAATGTAAATTGGAAACACGGCCGAAATTTGAAGTAAGTGGAGGTTCTGTTCATGTCAAAGTTTAAACTTTCGACAGAAAATCGTCATGGAACAACTACATGAAACAGTTCGAATTAGCTGCAAGAGCGAATGGATGGTCTGAAAAAGAAAAGGCTGTAAACCTGACTATCGCTCTTCGAGGAGATGTCTTAGATGTGCTTCAGACCATAGCCGTAGAGGAGACGGATGATTTCAAACAACTTAATATGGTCACGAACATTTGGAGCATGTATATCAGTCACAGCTTAAAAATCGAAAACAAAAGAAAGATGACGCTCTTCAAGAATATGAGATAGATATTACCAGATTAGTACAATATGCTTATCCAACAGCTCGCGAAGACATGATGGAAAAGTTGGCCCTTCAAACGTTTATTGATGGTCTTCGTGATCATAAAATGCAGAAAACACTGCAATGAGCTCGTCACAAGACGCTGGTTGATGTGTTATTTACCGCCCTCGAATACGAGTTAGCTACGCAGGCCTCTAGTGGGTACAGTAAAGTTAGGACTGTAAATGAGGAAGGAGATGAAGATAAACTTAACCAGCTCGTTAATATGATGAAAAGTATTACATACAAGAAAACGAAGACCATAAGACGCTGGCGACCATATTGTGGCGAAATAGGACACGTACGAAGCTCATGTAAGTACCCTAGGTACGACGCAAATGAAGAAACTCACCATCAGGAAAACTAGAACGGGTCGGTCTTAGGAGGGCAGCTTCGACCCGGAACTTTTCCAAAGACCCTCTCATACTAATACCTTCTTTGAAATAGTGTATATGTAGATGGAGAAATAAATGGTAAAAAGCATACGTTGTTGGTGGATACCGGAGCGCCCAGAACCATTATACGCCCGACAGTTATAAACAGCCGTAAGAAACTGTTACCAACGAGGTTGCGACCTATGGAATCCATACTATGGATCACTAACTCTCTAATTTTATCCTAACTATATTTTAAAGTCTCATCTAATAGCACATTCGTAAATAAACTATTTATGTCAACACTTACCAAAGTAATATTTAAATTAAATTCAATATTATTTAAAAAAATGTGTATTTTTTATAAATGTGTCATTTTTATTTGCAAATGGTTTTAAAATATTTAATAAAAATTTTGATAGTTTACTACAACGAGAATGTATGGTACTACAAATGGATCTAAGAGGTATATTCGTTTCATGAACTTTTGATACTCCATAAAAATGAGTGGTCTGACTCATGACTAATGAGTTGTAAATAATCCTCTTTGGTAACTTGTTAAACAATCTTTAAACTTGAATAAAGCTCTATATATTCTGTTTTCCAAAGGCTTTGTTGGATTCTTTGTATATTTTGTATAAGGTCCGTTTATTATTAGATCTTTAATTTTGTTTTCATATTGAATTTTATCCATTATCACTGTTGCATTCCTTTGTCGGCTGGTAGGAGGATTATGAAGTCGTCATTTTTCAAAGTCGTCAAAAGTTCTTATAGCGTTTAGTTTCTCTTTGCTTATGTTTTGTTCAATTTTAATAGACTTTTCCAATTCAAGTTTACATAATACTCTGTATTCTTCCTTTTCGTGGGTTGGTAAACATTGAGATATTTTCTCCACTGAGCTTATTATGTCTAATTTTGGAATTGATGGCTGAGTAACAGCGAAGTTTAGACCCTTTGGCAGTATTAAATTCTCCGTTGCGATTAAATGTCTATTTGATGATTGAGAACTGTCGCTAATATGTCATCATGACTGTCAAATAAACGTCAAATCAAAATGAGCGTTATTTTGAAGCTCTTACAAAAAATATCAATTTTGAAGATTTTTTTCTTCACTTTTACGGTATCGCTTGCAGTGGTAAAGACAGATTAAACTAGTAGTCTGTAAGAAAGTGTATATTTTGTGTGTAGGTAGTTTAATCTTAAAAAAATCGACATGGGAGAAATTTCACCAAAGCCTACAGATAGAGGAACATTTTATATAGAATAGAAACATTAAAGTAAATGATAAAGTAACAAACAAAAAAAAGCCAAACAATTAGCACTAACGAGGTAGGTAACCAATTTCATTTTAATAACGATGCAACTTGACACAATTTAATAAAATACATAGATCAGGTAATCCAAATTTAAATAAAGGTATAAATTTAAGATTAATAGATATAAATTAGGAGATAATGCACCATATATAGTACATATAGAAAATAAAAACGGTAATATCGGCAAATTACACAGGATAGGCACGGCCGATTAATTTTACCATATGAGCGATTCAAATTTCTATTGGCATTTATTCGCTTTGATAATAAACAAACTCGTGCAGAGAGACAAAAAGTTGATAAATTAGCTCCTATCAGAAGCTTTTTTGAAGACTTCAACACCAATTTGCCAAAACACTACGCCATGTCACACTATTGTACAGTTGATGAAAAATTAGAAGCCTTTAGGGGCCGCTGTGGGTTCAAAGTTTATATGCCAAAAAAACCAAATAGGTACGGTATAAAAATATATGCCTTGACTGATGCTAAATTAGCTTATACCTCAAATTTAGAAATTTATGTTGGTCAGCAACCAGAGGGACCCTACCAGCAAACCACAAAGACTTTGGATTTAGTAGTACGTTTGTGCAGACCTATCTGGGGTACAAATAGAAATGTTACTCTTGATAATTTTTTTACCAGTAAGCAGCTTGCTGACACATTACTGGCCAATCATCAGCTAACTATAATTGGAACTCTTCGAAGAAATAAGCCAGAACTGCCTTTGGAATTTACGGCGCCTATAAATAGGCCTACTTCTACAAGTATGTTTGCATATCAAGATAAATGCACTATTGTTTCGTATATTCCAAAACCGAAAAAAATGTGCTCCTGATGTCAACAATGCATTATGAAGATGATACGTTGGATCCAAAGACTGGTAAGCCTAACATAATAATTGATTACAACGAAACCAAAAGATAGGTCGACACTATTGATAAGATGTGTGAAAGCTACAATTGTGCAAGATCGACTAATCGCTGGCCCATGGTGATATTTTATGCAATATTGAATATCGCCGGCATAAATTCATTTACAATATACAAGTGTAATTCTGCTCGGACAGACCAACGCATACTACTTAAAGAACATTTTTAGAGACAATGGTATTCAACTGCTTGAACCACATGCAAGACGTAGAGCAATTGCAACAAACCTGCCAAGGGTGATAAGTATGCGACTCAGAGAAATGTTTGATATCACATTGAATGTACAAAATATTGAAAAATCTAATGGTCGTTGTTTTTACTGTGGAAGCAAGAAAAGTCGAAAAATAAAGTACAGTTGTTACTCATGCAATAATTTATGTGCTAAGAACACATAAAGGGTATATGTGTGGAATGTTCAGAAAAAGATTGACTTTTTTTAAGTTTAAAGTTACTTCGTATTATTAGAGTTGCTTAAATGTGGTTATTATAAGTGGATAATTTCATTTTTAGTTTAAAAATAACTCAGCAAATTTTTTGTTTATATTACGATTTTAGAGTTTTTTTCTCACTTTTTAGAATAGTTGCTTGTTTTTGTTAAGGAATTATTTTTGTCAAAATAAATGTTTATAAATATAATTTTTAAATAAAACTGCATTTATTTTAAATAAAAAAGTATTTAATAAGACCCTTGAAATAATTAAATTTTAAAAATTTGTAAAATTTACAGTACTAGGCATGTATAAACATACGGTCCCAGAGACGGACGTTAGCACTTATTCAAAATAATTCACGTTAGCACTGAAAGGTTAAACTCAAATTGTAATTGTACAGATAGAGTAAGTCAAACGGGCCATAGGAAACTCAATGGGAAATTCTAAATTGTTGAATTCCTGCTTCCCTAATTATTTTACACCAAAAGTCATGGGAAACTATTTGTAGAGGACTCAAATATGTATCGAAAACAACTGTTAAAATTATTCTACGACTTAAACGTATTCCAAATTTTGCTAAAATATAATACATTTTTCTGTGAAAAAATGTGTATTACGTGTTGCGTTTTGTCATATTATTGTTTCTGATATTTGACAATATTTAAATCAATTATATTACATTTATCTATGATTTAAATGGCCAAAATTTTGTGATTTATTGTTAAAAAAAATTAAGTTGATTAAAAAATGTACTCAGTTGAGGAGAAAAAAGCAATAATAAAAATGTTTTATTCATGTTTTATTATAACATTTGTTATAGTTTTATGTTTAGAAATTATCATATATTATTATTAGGAATAAAGATCACAGTAACAGTATATTGGAATTCATTGAATTGTTGTATAACTTAACTTAACATGGAATTAAATTTTAGTGAATTAGAATATCTTACGTTAAATAAAGATCCGGTAGTGGCAGGAAAAGGTTCGCGCTATTGCCTGAATACAACATTATGCGATTTTTCGTCAACTGAGTACATTTCATTATATTGATCGATTTGTAAACAATATAATTTATTGTTCACAAAGTAATAATGTTCATTAGTAGTAGTATTTAGTAAAATTCATTGTTTATAATTTAATCATAAAATAAAAAAATTGACAATTCAAATTGTCAAACATCTGACATAAATATGATAAAACACACACGTCCTAATATATATTCTTGCATTACGTGTGGCCTAACTTTTAGGGGTGGCCTGAAAAATGTATTATATTTTTGCAAAATTTTGAAGTACATTTGATTCGTAGAACGGTTTTAACATTTGTTTTTAATTCAGATTTTAGTCCTCTACAAATAGTTTTTTATGATTTTGATCTAAAATAATTAGGGAAGCAGCAATTCAACAATTTAAAATTTCTCATTGAGTTTCCTATGGTCCGTTTGACGATTCAAAAATATATATATAGGAAAACAAATAAAAAAAGGGGGCTTGGACAGTCCGCAGTAAAGTAGCTATTAAATTAAGTAGATATCTGCAGAAGAGTTTTCTGTGGAACTTTGAGGACCTCATCACTTATTTTATATATAAGTAACTAAAAAGCACCAAATAGAAAAAAAGACTATATATTAGAGATCAATACTAGTAATAGATTTAGGATAAGATTGTATAGGAAACAATGACTAACGAAAAAATGAATAATGTTACAAATTGCAAGATTGGCGAATTGATTTAGTGTCTGTAGTCATTGAAGCATAAACAAACAGCAAAAACTAGTTCACTAAAATAAAAAAACTTACCAGAAAGTACTGAAAAATATAAAAACCAATTGCTTCCCATTTTTTGCATCTTGGAAACATCACAGAAATACATATAAGTATTTAAAATAACTAGATAACAGGTTTTCAAATAATATGTATTTATTTACAGATAAACTAAGATAAAATAATTAATTTCAACATTAAACAATGAATCTATTTAAACACTTGCAAAATAACATTTTTTATTCATGTTAATTTAAAAACTTATCATTGTTACCGCAGTAATATACAGAGAAAAAATTGTAGACAATAGGAAACTTATAGAATATGAGTATTGAGATTAAATTCTTAGGTAAGTTGCTACTTAGCGCACATAACCAAAAATATGATTACAAAATAAACAAAAAATAAATTTATGTGAACCGTAAGCGAGAAAAATATAGGTACTTAATAATTATAATTTTATTTATTTACATTTTAAGGCGCATCAACCTATGTGGTTATTAGCTTCGCTGGGCTTTAAAAAGTTTTTTTACATTTCTGGATATATATTTAAATATATTTTAACATTTATTAAGTAAATATATTTTTACATACATAGATTTCTAATTACACTGATTTTTACAAGCATTGACTTATACACATTTACTTTTACACGCACTGATTTTTACATTTTATTATTCCTATTAATTTAAGACAACTTACCAGTAGACAGTTCTATTCTAGACTCTCACGTAGTGTTGCCGATAGGTTACAATTTTCAGATCAGTTGAATATGCCGGTCATTCCATTAAGAATTTTTCTCTATTTAAACTGTTAAAACATTTACCGCACATTGAATCAGCACTTTTAATAATATGGTGTCCTAATCTCAAGCCTGTTTATTACAGTTTGGTCTTTCCTGTTGCTACACTTATTCTTTCACCTTGTAACTATATTCTCTTTTATTACAATGTGTACCTATATATGTGATGGTATTCACATAAATTTTACAAGGGAATTTCTCTGCTGAAGTGGGCACAAATGGTTCTTTATCAATCTCAAAAATAAATTGAGAACATGGTACCTGTTCGACACTAAGCTTAAGTATAAAATAATTAGTTGATTTTATAGTTACTAATAGAAAAATTTAGCCAAAGCACATTTGGGATATCCGAACTTAAAACTCAGCAGATGCAGAGAGTGACCAAAAACTAATACTAGCAAAAATAAGAATGAAAATAACAACAAGACACATTTTATAAAATACGTGAAATCACCGAGAAAGAATTCAATAAAAAATCACTGTGAAACGGTAAAAGAAATGTACCAAAGAAGGCTAACACAAAAGATATAGCTGAAACAAATAGACGATATCGAAGATATAAACGCGAGCTGGGAGAAAAAAAGCAACATTAAAGAAGCTGCAACAGAAGCTCTAGGAAAACGCCAAGTCATACTAAACAAAAGAAACAAGAAGAATACACTATGGTTTAGAAAAAAAAATAAAAGAGAAATATAAAGAGATACGAAAGGCCTACACGAAGTACAAAACATCAAATACTCCAAAATTTATGGACATATATAGAAAAATACGAAATGAAACAAAGCAGTTGGTAAGAAGAACAAAAAATGAATACCGGGAAAAGTTTACAAAAAGAATAGAAAGAGACTTTTATTTAGATTCATAAGAAACTAACGGAAATAAGTGCTAGAATTAAAAAAATACAATAACACACCAGCGAACGAATGGGAAAGATATCTGACCAAACTGTTTAAAGGGAATAAAAATAATAATCAATAGACAATAACGTACCTGAATTAAGACTTAAAATATAAATCAGTTTTAAGAAAGTGGAAATAGCCGTTAATTGACGAAAAAATAGAAAGTCACCAGGACCAGATGGAATAACGAACGATCTTCTAAAATTCGGAGGACAAAGTATAACCCTAGAGATGACAAAACTTATACAAAAACTAATATTGCACTGCAAGATACCAGACGCATGGAGAAACAGCATAATGATACCAATGTTCAAGAAAGGATATAAAGAAGACACCAACCGTTATAGAGGTATAAATCTACTGAACACCGCACTTAAGATCACCACAAAAGTCCTAACCAACAAAATTAATAAACTAACAACCTTATTAAATGAACAAGGATTCAGATTCGAAAGATCCTGCGTAGACGTCGTATTTGTACTAAGACAAATCACAGAAAATGTCATCGAGTAAAATAAATCATCATATCTATGTTTTATAGACCTTACAAAGGCTTTTGATCGCATCCAAGTCGAAGACGTCTCACATCGACTGTATAAAAAAACACAGCAATCAATATTATACAAACCATCGAAAACATCTACTTCCATAATAAAATACATGCAAAGATAAATGGAAAACTAACACAGTGCATACCAGTATAAAGTAGAATCAGACAGGGTGACTCGTTAAGCCCATTTTTCTATAATATAATAATGGACGAAATAATATAAGCAGTACGTAAAGGTCATAGTTACAGAATGGAGAAAAAAAAACAAATATTATATAATGCAGATGAAGCCGCATTAATTACCGAGACAGAAGACGAGTTTCAAAGAATAACAGACATCTTCAATACAACAACCAAGAAATACAACATTATATCAACAAAAAAAAACGAATATATGACAACATCTAAACACCCACTATGATGTAAAAATCGAAATTAATGAAAAAATAATAAAGCAGAAAGCAAGGTTAAGATATTTGGGAATAGATATAACTAGTTAAGGAGATGTTAAAGAAGTACGAAAACAAAGCTTAAAAGCAAGTAAAACGACAGGATCTCTTAATGATACAATCTGTAAGAACAAACACCTAAGACAAGACACAAAAACAAGAATCTCTAAAGCAGCAATTAGACCTATATTAACATAAACGGCGGAGACAAATCTAAAACGAGGTGAATACTAGAAACAACAGAGATGAAAATACTCCGACGAATATCAGGGAACAGTCTGTTGCATAGGGAGAGAAGCGAAAACATAAAAGGAGCATGCAATATAGAAGACATAAATGGATGGTTGACAAAACGGAACCAGGAGTGAAACGAACACAAGAGTAGAATGGCAGTGGATAGAATAGTACCAATAGCACGAGATAAATCAAGAAAAAGATGGTACCATAATTTAAACAATTTAGGAGGCTTATATTGAGGAAAACAGGCTTTAAAGCTTACATACAAAAACGAAGAAGCAGAAGTATCTAAGCTACTAACAAAACTTACAGAATCTGTTATTATTACATACCTGTTTAATTTAGTTTTAAGGGAATTTTATAAGGATTTGTAGATTGCGAATAGTTTTCCTGTATATACCGTGCTAAAATTTGAGATTTTGTAAAAAAACAATCTCACTCCTTCTGATTTGGAGGCTTCAATGTTGGTAATACTGGTACTTACCAATCTTACTGTAAAATTATTTAACTAAGTTGTTTATAAGTCTTTGTTAAACTTATGTCAAGGAAGGGTTTTCTGAGATTGGTTTATTATATTTTGGAGAAGACAATATTATTACTGGTTATGTGTCTATTAAATCTTTTATAGAAAGGGGGTTTAGATATTTTCTTTTAAAGCTATGTTATGCGGAAACGAGAATAAAAGTCATTGTTTTTGATATGATTTTCACTATTTTGATAATATAAAAGGCAAATATCGAGCACAGAATTAATTTAATCTTGCCCAAGTACTTCGCTTCCTTAAGCATCTTCATGGACATTTCGTCAATTGCGGCCTATCTGACAAGAGTTAAATGTCATAAACATAAAATGGAACATTACAATACACTGCACAAGAACAAACAAACACTTTAAAATTTTTAAAATAGGCGAAGCTACATTGTGTAAAGAAGCCGGAATTTATGAGTGGAAAAAGGAAGAATTTATGTGTAAGACATTTTACTCTTTTCGGATAGGCCGCAATTGACGAAATGTCCCTGAAGATGATCTAGGGATCGAAAGTACTTGGGCAAGATTAAATTAATACTTTGCTCGATATTTGCCTTTTATATTATCAAAGTTCATTTATTTGAACAATCAACCTTATTTCTAATTATTTTCACTATTTGCTAAAACGTTCACAAAGATATTGTATTCTTAATTTCAAAAGCAGATCTGCTACTAACCGTAGTATGCTATTTGTGGGTACGTTACAATAAGATCCCAAGGCTAACTATTCTTACCTCAACATTTTAAGTTGTTTGCAACTATTTAAAAAGCGATTAACTGGTAGACCCACTACTAATAATCCCATATGTAAAAGGAAATAAATTGTTCTCCTTTGTTTTTTTTTTTTGTTTACGAATTACATTTTCCATTGCGTTCTATTAGCTTAACGTTTTCGTCTCCGTGTTATACTTTTTAAGTTAATACTTACGACTTGCCCTAATATGTCGTTTAAAATTGAACTGACTATAAATAGCGATGTTGACTTATTATTGTTCCGCCGGAGGTAATCACCCAAACTGGAATAATTCTGATGTAAAGTAGAACTTTCTGATGATTCTGTAAAGAATTAAAATAATTAAAAAACTTATGACTAACAAAACAATAAATTAACCAGATGATGAAGGAATATACTCCAAAACGTCGGGAGAAAAAGCTTCTTTAATTTCACTTTGCTCAAAATCATCAAATATTTTATTTTGTTTCTCTAATGTTTTTTAAAAGTTATTAGTTCATCTCCTAAAAATAAGATCAGAACAATAAAGATAATCTTTAATGTAGACCTAACTTAAACCACTTTATATAAGAACAAATTCTTTACCTGTATTTACAAATGAACAACAACTTGCTTGTCCAAGTTGCACGTCTTTAGTATCATTATGTTCTTCTACGGGACCTTCTAAAAATTATACTTGTTATCGTTATTTATTTTTAGAAAATTATAAAATACCAATTTGTTTGTTGCAACGCCAACTGTATCAGTCGAGAATTACCTTGATGTCTGCTCATGATTTAAAAAACAACAGCACTGTGACATAACTATAAATACCGGGACCGGGAAACAATCAAGATCTGTACTCTCTATTTTCCCCTACTATTCTCACAATAATGCCGCGAAATATTGACACACGACGTGAAGTATCTACCTGCATAATTATCGGAACTAAACAGCCAATGAGGCGAATAAAATTGTAACAACAGTTACGGTGTAGATTTTGAAATATGAGAACTATTTTGATAAACTATAGTTCGATACAGTGTTTTTAGACGAAAATTTGATTTGGTTCATCGTCGTATCTGTAGTTACTCTGTTATTCTACAAATAATTCAAATATTTACGGTATTATTCCATTCAGAATCTTTCTTATTAATGAAGTTACAGCCACACCGACCATGTTGTCAGATAGAGCGTAAAAAGTATCCAAGAAGAACACTGTAACTCAAAATCGCTAAAAAATGTTAGTTACAACGTTATTCTATACAAAAGTCGATATAAAGCTTCGCTCTAGTCTACTGTACCAAATACTGTACTACTTTTGTCAAGTGTTTAAAATAAAATCAAAAAATACAAAAATGCAATTGATACAAGAATGGTTTATTTTTATCAAAGTCACGTGTAGTATAGGCCATTTCCGTCATATTGGTAGCACATTATGGATGCAAATCCCTAAACTGTTGATACGGGTGACTCAATGAAAAATAGATATTTGTCAACAAGTTTACAGAAGTATATAGGAAAACAATTTTAAATTGAGTATGACCACCAGGTATAAAGGTTGAAGCAGAATAGAATACAATAGTTTTGAGGGTTACTAATCCCTAAATAAAGTTGCCAGTGTCGGAGTGATGGAGATTAACAGGTACTAATGAATTTGCAAGAAATGTAAGATGTTTATTTTATTGGTTATATATAAAATAATTTGTGGCCGTAACAGGGGCCGATTTGTAAAAAAATGAATATTATTTTAATCAAATTCCATTTCAGATTCACTGCTTTCTTCAGAATCTAAGGAATCTTCAACTCCAATGTTAATTATTACCGGTTCCAGCATTGCATCAGTCATATTATCCAAATTCCACATTTTATTTTCTTCCTTGTGAGCATGACTAACAGCATTTTTCCAATTTTCTGGAGTTACTTTTGATAAGGAATGTTCTAATAATTGTTGTAAGTCTTCTAATTTAAAAGTTTTGTTGTTGCGTCCGACTTCACCCTTTACTTGAGACCATATATTTTCTATCGGATTCAGATCACAGTGGTATGGGGGTAAACGTAAAATAATTACATCACGGTTTAATGCCATTTCATCAAATATATATTTTTTATAAGCTGCTTTATGTTGCCTTACAATAGGTAATAATTCCTTTTTTGTCGAATTCTCCTTGTACTCAATTGCGTGTTTATCCAACCATTCGATTATCTCTCCTTTTTTCCATGCCGTTGTTGGCAATTTTTCTGCTAGTCTTGAATGGTAACTAGCATTATCCATGACTATGACAGAATTTTTTGGAATTAAATCCAACATTTGCTCAAAATATTCTTCAAAAACGTCAGCAGTCATTTCCTCGTGGTAATCTTTGGTTGATTTTGAGGCAAAACTTAATAATCCACCATTGACAAAACCGTATTCGTTTCCAATATGGGTTATTATGAGTCTGCGTCCTTTTCCAACGGGAATATTGTTTATTCCAGTAGATACACCTTCGATGAATGCCTGACGGGAACTTTTCACATTTGTATCAACCCATAGATATGGTACAGTATGACCTTCATTTAGCCAAGTCTCGTCCAAATAAAAAATTGTTTTCCCTTCTTCTCGGTACTTTTTAATAGTTCTTAGATAATCTCGTCTCCAACATACAATGTAATCTTTTTCAATTAAAACGGATTTTCTTCTATTCTTTTGCCAACGAAATCCCATCTCTCTCAATAGTCCCCATAATTTCTTGTTGCTTATGATTGGTAACTCTTCGTTTTCTCTAATTAATGTTTGGATTTTGTCCAATGTTGGAAATTCTTTGTTAAAAAAAAATGAGTGGACGCTGCGTCTTATCATGTTTTTATGTATTTCTTCAATTTCCAAGGGTTTACTCCCTCCACTCTTCTTGGGAGATGAAACAGTTCCTCCTTTTCTTTCTTTTAGGAATATATAAATTGTTGCTTCTCCAACCCCTGTCATATTTGAACACATGTTAACGATTTCACGAACATTACTTAAAGGGCGTTGATGTACAAGTGCATCGTGTACATTTAATATTATATTTTTCTCTCTTAGACTGAAGGCACCTTTAAAACTACACTTAACCGGGATAAAACCTGTTGTCGACGTCATTTTTAAATGCAAATAACAAAATATCGACACCAAAAACGTAGGTAGGTAAGACATGAACAATGTACATCTACAAACTAAATGGAAGATGCAAACAATTTCTAATTTATATTATTGGCATAAGCTGTAATGTGGCATAAAAACTACTTAAACTATCATTAGTGAAGCCTTATCAGTAATTCCAGGTAATCGTTCAAAGAAGGTATTCTTTTTGTGTCAGGCGATAACTTGTATAGAAAACAATAATCACCTTTAAATTACTGTTTACATTAATTTATTTTGTGAAACATTGAATTCTCTCGTTAATCACTCGTGTATAATTAACAGTAATCGTGTGGCATATATACCAAGTTTTTAACGCACCAAAAAGGTATAGTGAGATTAGTGGACACTTATTTTACAGAAGATTTTTTAAAAGATAATGAATTGTTGACGGCATCTTAAAATATTAATTTTTTTATTTATTTCAAAACAAGTATAGGGTGACGCCTATGGTTTTTTGACCTGTTGAGGATTTGCATACATAATGTGCTATCAATATGATGGAAAAGGACTATAAAAACTTAATTTGTTCAGAAATAACTATTAAGGGTCCCACGACTAAACGATTGAAATAAACATAAAAATAAAGTAAAACTATTTATTTATATAAACCTTAACATTAAGAGTGTTATGTCCAATTTTATTTTCTCATTCACATGTTCCTAAACATCTGGTCTCGATGACATTTGTGTACCATTTGGCTGACTTTTTCGCTGTTCTGGTCCTATTTGGGTGATTGAAATCAACTTGGTATAATCCAAATTTGTTTCTGAAAAAAATTATTTAATATTAATTAATTTTATGTGATAAGTTAAATTGGCATACTGTTGTTTTTCTAGTAAATCCGTTGAACGGTATCGGTTAGCTATTTGATCTGACGTAATTTTTTTCAAGCGTTGTATTCTCTAGAAATAGTAGAGTATATAGGGATTTATGGACCATAAGAAATGCAATTAATCGAACAATAAACCATTGTTAATTAATAATATCTTGTTCATAGTAATGGTTATATTTTTAGGGTGCTTAACCTTTCGGGAATAAGTTTTATTTAAACAGTTACTTAATATTTGAGCTTTCTCTTAAGACTAAAGATTTTTTATTGCGTTTTAATTATATCATTTTAATACAGAAGGTGAATTGGACGTCAGGAAGCAGACAAAAAAATACTGGGACCAAATCTGGAATGATAATAAACAATCATCCATAGTTGCATGCACTGGTAACAGATGCAACCTAAATATAAATTTGCAAAAACCGTGTACTATCATTTTTTTAGGAATGGATGAATGGTAGTCGAATGAAACGAATCTAATAAGGGGCTAATCAATGCTGATATATAGACTGATTTCAGACCATTAAACGGAACTGGAGAATAAGGAGGGAAACTAGGGCCAAGCCTTCGTGAAGACCAGACCAGACTTAGTCCAGACCCAATTTCCAGGAAAGACAGTTGGCATAGCAAAAAGCACAGCCAAACGAACGATATTGGACTAGATTGAAAAGATAAAACATAGCCATTAATATGAACAGGTGGTCGCATTCGAAGGAAACACAAATATTTCAAGAAAACAAAAGTTTAGAAGTTTTGAGAGAAAATACAAACAACATAGGTAAGTAAAATATGTACAAAATTAAAAAAAAAAAGATAGAAACATTACCTCGATAGAACCAAAATCCTTGAAGTTATTAAATCCTTTTATTTCGAAATGTATGAGAGCACCGACGAAAGGCAAGATTAGCAATTGCCCAAAATCACAAACCATGGATCAAAATAATGCCAAAAATAACACTATATGAAGTTGAAATGGCTCTTTTAGAAATGAAAAATAACACATCCCTTAACGATGATGGAGTAGTTAACGAGGCGATCAAACTAGGTGAAAATAAAATTATCCAGGCTTTGGCCAAACTTTTTACCCTATGCCTCTACCAAGTAAAATCTGCTTAATGGAACAGTAGAGTCATAATTTTATTATACGAGCAAGGAGACATAACAGATCTAAAAAAACTACCATCTTATCAGTGTGCTCTTACATATATATGAACTTTTCACAAAAATTATCAAAAAAGGACTGGATACTAAGTAAGACTTCGATTCGTCTAGAGAACAAGCAAGATTTGGATCAAAATACTGCACTAACGACCACTTACTAGTAATAAAGAACCTGATAGAGAAGTCTGCAGAACACAACTTAACAAACCATTGGCAATATTATTTGTGAACTAAAAGAAAGTAGTCGAAACCATAAACCAGCAGAGAATATTAAAAGTATTGACAGAATGCCGAATAGATCTTCGCTACACTAATATAATATAAAATATCTACTAAAATACCACAGCTAGCGTAAGACTATATGAACAAAAAACAAACAAATTTTATATATATCGAGGAGTACGGCAAAGAGACACCGTCTCTCCGAAGCTATTTATGATGCTCTTAGAACAGACTTTTAAGAAGGCAGATCTGAATTGATCGACATAAATTGAATAAAATTCAGTCATTTGAGATTTGCAGATGAAATCCATATTATAGCCGATCATAGGGATGATCAATATTTAGCATAAATAGCTTAAACAATTTGAGTTAGTCACCAAAAAACATTCAATACGTACAAGTGCGTATGCTTTGAAAGTAGGTTTATTACAATATATTTAATTTTAAGACCAAAATATGTTATAATCTGTGGCTAAGGAACATAGTACGAAGCCAAACTTCCTTACACGCACACACACACACACAAATAATATTTTCTAAATTATTGTTTCTCATAGCACTCAGCAATATCTTCTTCTTAAAGTGCCCTCTCCTCAATGGAGGTTGGCTACTACAATTTTAAACTCTTCTCTATCTTCAGCTGTTCTTATTAGCTGTTCAAAATTTAGCCCTGTCCATTGTCACTCAGCAATATAGCGGTGAAAAATTAGAAGAGAGTGTCTCCTTTAGTAGTATCCTTACTTTTGTATACGCACTTCACCTTCTAGATCATAATCAGAATTTACTAATTTTGGCAAAAATGTATTTATTTAAAAAAGGGCATTATAAATGTTACAAAATAAAACTTACAGTCTGACCCAATCCAAAAATTCAGTGAGAAGGATGGTTCTGCATAGCTACAAGTAAATCGATATCAGGATCAATTGTGCTTGGTTTCATTCGTAAATTTGGATTGCTGCGAATAATAAATTGACTACTGCGAAATTTATTTTTCAGTTGTAGCATAGCAGAAAATCCAGTTTCACACAGGTAGGTTGAGCATAGTCTTCGTCAAAATATTCTTTAAAACTATCAATTAGCATTTGACAATGCTGTTTTATGTTAAAAATAAGATCATCTTTAATCTTTATTTCATGCTCAACCACAAAATTTTCTAAATTGGTAAACGACTGCAAGTCTTTGTTTGAAACACTATTTTTCATCATATAACATTTCTTGATAAAAGCATTTATTTTGTCGTTTACAGAAAATCGATTATGTGATTTACCTTGTAAGCTTAAGTTTAGGTCATTTAATCGATTAAATATATCTGTTAAGTAAGCTAGTGTTGTAAGCCACAATTCATCTAATAACCGATCACGCAGTTCAAAATTGGTTTCCATTAAAAACACATGTACTTCAGAACGCAACTCGAATAACCTGTTCAACATTTTTCCTTTTGATAGCCATCTTATCTCCGTGTGTAGCAATAACTGAATATGATCACTTCCCATTTCAGAGCATAGTTTTGAAAATAAACGCGAGTTTAAGGCTCGAGATTTTATGAAATTGACTATCTGAACGGCTTCATGGAGAACATGTTTAAATTCATCGGGCATTCGCTTTGCTACCAAAGCTTCTTTGTGGATACTACAATGGGTAAAAGTACAATTTTCTGCAACCAGTTTTACTTTGGCAGTTACACCTCCGTATTTTCCTGTCATGGCTCGGGCACCATCCGAACAGAAACCAACGCATTGTTTCCAGTCTAGTCCATTTTCCACAAAAAAATCATTGATTTTCTTGAATATTTCATCGGCAGTAGTTCGTTCCGTTAACGCCTCACAAAATAAGTACTCTTCTTCGATTTTGGTTTGAAATATATACCGCACATAAACCATAAGCTGAGCATAGTTTGTAATATCTGTGCTCTCATCAAGTTGTATTGCAAAAAAAATACTATTTTTTATCCGGTTTATCAATTTCTCTTTAACATTTAATGCCATTATTTCAATCCTACGACGTACGGTATCATTGGATAATGGTATAATACTAAGCTGTTTACCTGAATTCTCTCCAAAAATACACGTTACCATATCTTGTGCGGCAGGCAGAACTAGTTCTTCGCCGATTGTATGCGCTTTTCCACACTTCGCAATTCTTAAACTCACGAGGAAGGATGCCTCTACTGCTTTTTGGTTGCTGCCGGTGAAATTCGACATTAATTTTTTTGTGCCTCTCATCTCCGTTAACTTCCGAACGAAGTAATCCTTAGGTTTATTTTCCAACACTGAATGTTTTGTACTGAAGTGGCGTTTTAATAGCGAAGGTTTCATACACTGGTTAGAAAGAATTTCCGAACAGATTACACATTGGGGCCTTGGCTCATCATTTATATTCGTGAATGTAAATCCCATATTAATGTATTCAGGATCATATTTCCTAACCGCCACTTTTAGTTTTTTGAAATAATTCTTTTTGTCATCACCCTGGATAGGCTCCGACTCTGAAGTGGAGCTCGATAGACCGGGATTTTCAGATGTTCTGTTGTCTCTTTTAAGCCACTTATCCATTTTTTATATGCAAAAATTAGCACGAATCAGTAACAGCAAATTACTCGTTTCGACAAAATTAACCACAACGACTGACGGCCACGAGGAAACTAATGACCACTGATGACGTGAATCAAGGGCGGTGGCAGTTTGCCGGGATTCCAGTGTTGCCAACAATGAATAAGACATTACGCGCTTGTGTTTCCAACTCGCAGCGTTGCCATGCACCACGTAAAAGATAACATTCGTTGATAAATTTGATTAAAATTCTTCGTTTCTTCTAGTTTATAGAGTACCACCTTAAAGTTCTTTGCGTACCACCAGTGGTACGCGTACCACAGTTTGAGTACGGCTGGTCTAAAGTGTAAATATATGCCAAAATTAGATCACTTGAGAAAAGCAATTAGCCGAACCAGCTGTAGTGATAATATTTTAAAATAAATTTTGTGGAAGTGTTGAAAACGAAGTTTTCAGTGTTTTATTGATACATTACATTACAGTATTTATATAACAGTGTTTTATTGTTTACATTTTATTGTTATAAAATGAATTTCCCCTTAAGTAACGGCCGAATCGATCAATTATATAATATATGTCTTTAAATGTATATCGACCATCTTCGGAATATTTTGTATATATTCAGTAATGAAAAAAATACTATCAGTGATCATCGATTGCTGACTCTTGTAACAGAATATTCGGATTTTAGTCGATCTACCACATTCACCCTGCCCTTTGTGGAATAATAAAATGTTATATTATCGGATTTGTAAGGTTCTTGTGTCGTCGCATCTACTGCATCTTAATCATGGTGTGCATCAAAACATTTTTATTCTTTTTCTGAACCTAGGAATCCAGAACACAGTTGTTTCCGTCTTATCCAAGACCAAACATGCTACTGCACAAACACGACCTGTCGACCTATCAGTTGAATTTATTCTGGTTATTATAGTTATACTCCTAAAATAATATCCAAACAAACGTTATAAAAACAAACAGACGAATTTTCAGCAGCATTCTTATTCACACACAACTATACTACGGACTTATAAATATACTCAATCTTTTTAAAACCCCTCGGTCGTCACACATTAAAAATGGAAACAGGAAGAAATACAACAAGTACAACATTAAACATTTCTTGCTCATTTGCTGCTATAGGCGTAGTGTCATCAGCAAATCTTAAATTGGAGATTTTCTTACCAGCCATTGTTACTCCACCGGCCCATTCATCACAAGCCATTCTCATGACATGTTCACCATAAATGTTAAATAAGTCAGCTGACAACACGCATTATTGCCCAACACCTCTCTCGGTCTTAAATTAGTTTGAGAACTTCTGATCCAGTGGTACTGTTGCTATATTGGATTGGTACAGTGTACTAGTGAAATGTAACCAGGTGCATTGGTGTGCCTATTTGTATTAAAATAGACCAAAGACATATTATTAGTAACAGTGTGTGGTAGTTTTCACATTTAGTAGTAGTTCCTTTTTTGTGTAATGGATATAAGTGAGGTACACCAATCAGATGGCCAATTTCCTGAATTCCAAACTTGAAGCACAAAGAAAGAAAGAAAGTATGCAATTAGATCAAATAATAGACCGTTAGGTTATAAGGTTTTAAGTTTATGATTAATATAAAATTCAAACAAGTGATGTACCAATGATAAAATACTTACGAAAAACCGAACAGCCACTCCAAGTTATCCAGCAAACTCCAAACCGTGTATCCTACTACATTGACTTTGTCCTCGTCCATTGCGGCTTTTACGTTACTAAGATATTTCTAAAAATTAAAAAAAAGGTTTATCGTGATCTTTACATTAACCCGTAACCGGTGACGTGGAGTCTGAGAGACTCTTGCGAAATTAAAAACCGGTTTAAAATATTGAAGCGGACGACTCTGGATGGCCTGCGGCTAAGTACCTTTCTAAAAATAGTTCATAAACCAAGCGTTTTTGTTTGATTAGTTTACGTTTAGCCGTTTGCGAGAACAGACGTTATTGGAGTCAGCGAGACTCAACGTCACCGTTAGTTACTTTTTATCGAGTGTTTTATATTTCTTCGTATAAACTATAATGGATCATCTACCAAGTACAGTTGCGGTCACGGAATAGTTTACACCTTACTTTTTATATTGTAATACTGTAAAATTGCAGTGTCGTACGGATTTGATAAATGTCAAAGTCAAAAAATTTCAAAACGTCAATGCTTTCGCGAGTGTTCAACAATAAAATAAAAGTATATTAAACTCTTCCAAAATGGTTAGAATACATTTGAATTATGCGCAAAAAGCAAGAGCAATTGCCAAACTCGAAGAAGGTTGGTCACTAAGGCAAGTTGCTGCTGATTTGAACGTGAGTCATATGTGCATATGGAAGATTAAACAAAGATGGGATAATTTTCACTCTATAGCACGGTTGGGCGGTTCAGGAGGGCAGAAGATTTCCACAGATCAACAGGATGAGATGTTAGTAGATTATTTGAGAGAATCTCCTTTTGCCACAGCTCAAAAGGCAAGAGAAGAGGCAGCGTTTCCAGGCAGTATTCGCACTGCACGTCGAAGAATTAAAGCAAGTGGACTGCTAAATTGTGTAGCTGCACGGAAACCTTTTTTGACTGAGGATCACAAGAGGAGACGAGTTGAATTTTGTAATGAATTTATAAACCGCGATGAGAATTTTTGGTCTAGGGTTGTATTTTCCGATGAAAAAGTATTTCAGTCGTATAATAATGGTCGAATAAGAGTTTATAGGCCGAGAAATCATAGGTATGATGAACAGTATACGCATCATTTAAGAAATAGTGGAGGATTCTCTGTCAACGTATGGGGATGGATAAGTGCCGAAGGCCCGGGCGTTTGTTATCATGTAGAGGAGAAGTTAACAGGATTATATTACAAACATATTATTGAGCACACAATGTTGCCATCGGTGATCCAGAGATTCCCCAACAACGACTTTATCTTCCAACATGACAATTGCCCGGTGCATACGAGTAGAATTGTTCGAGAATGGCTAGAAGAAACTGATGTTAATGTTCTTCCGTGGCCTTCCCGTAGTGCAGACTTTAACCCCGTCGAAAATGTGTGGGCAGAGTTAACAAAGAAACTAAATGAAAGAAACCTTAGACCACGGAATAGAATTGAATTATGGGAAGCAATTGAGCAGGCATGGGAAGAGCTTGTTAACTATAACATGAGGGGATTGGTGCTATCTATGAACAGAAGACTGCAAAATTGTATTGACAAGAATGGGGCTTCCACCAAATATTAATTATTATTTATCATTGTTTATCGTTATTTAATATAAAATAGATTTAAAATAAAATGCATATTAAAAAAAAAGACTTCTTTATTTTCGTTATTAAGATCATAATCCATTTTATTCAAAAAACTGTTTTCTATATTTTTCATTTTGTAAAATATTTTGATATTTTAATTTTAATCTACCTATTCTAGCTAGTACACCACTGGCAACGTCACTTTGACGTAAAAGGTGCGTTTAAACGAAGTAAAAATTTAAAAAATGGGCTCCTAGATACGTGAACCTGTAAACTATTCCGTGACCGCAACTGTACGTCACGATCGGTTAGTGTTACAGATCCGAAATTTGAAGAGAAACTGTTAAATTGTTTCAATGATTTGGACTCTGAATATAGTGATATTGATGATATTGACAGTGATGCGGTAATAGAAAGCAGTCATGAGTCGGCATCTGAGCAGTCTGATAGTGAATCTGATCCAGAAGACAATATTCCAGAAACTTTAAACCAAGACTCGTCCAGTGATGATGAAAATAATATATTGGCGTCAAGATCTTCAAACTACTTTTATGGTAAAAACAGATTTAAGTGGTCAGCTAGTGCACCAAAAAATATTCGTACTCAAAAGCATAATATTATTGTACATTTACCGGGGCTGCAAGGAAAGGCTCGGTCTCTTGGTCTTTCGGCACCTCCAAAGGAAGTTTGGAACTGTTTATTTATAAATCAAATGTTAAATGTTGTAGTCGAATGGACAAATGTAAAATTGGCGAGTGTTAGGGTCAAATACAAAAATAAAAAGAGGCCGGAATTAAAAAATGTCGACCAGGTCAAAATGGAAGCATTTTTAGTTTAGCTTACTAATTTACACCTCAGTATTTAAGTCCAATGATAAAGACATAGAATGCCTATTTGCTACAGATTGAATGGGCAGAGAAATTTTTCGGTCCGTAATGAGTGCCAAGAGATTTGCAGTTTTATTGACTTGTTTACGTTTTGATGACACTTCCACGAGAGAACAACGAAAAGCGGTAAATCCACTAGCACCAATTCAAGAACTATTTGAATCTTTTATTCAAAACTGTCAAACGGAGTTTTCTGTTGGTGAATATGTATGCATTGATGAAATGTTAGTTGGTTTCCGAGGTAGATCATGCTTTAGAATGTATATTCCAAACAAACCACAAAAGTATGGACTTAAAATTATGATATTAACAGATGTAAGCAACAACTATGTGTACAAATGCGTATGTATATACAGGCCAAGATTCCGACGGAATGGGCCTTTCAGTAACTGAGAAAAAGCTTGCTAAACCTACTCAATCTGTATTACGGCTTCCTAAGCCATTATTTGGCAGTAATTGTAATGTGACAGCTGACAATTGGTTCACGTCTATAGAACTAGTTCAGTTGTTGAAATCTAATGGCCTAACATATGTGGGAACTATGAAAAAGGTTAAAAGACATATTCCCCCTGAGGTTCTTCCTCAAAGGCATAGAGAGATTGGTTCAGTTAGATACGGTTTTACAAAAGACATTACCCTTCTTTCGTATGTTCCTAAAAAAAAACAAAGCCGTCATACTATTATCCTCCATGCATCATAGTATAGCCATAGATGAAAAAACACAAAAACCAGAAATAATTAGTCTGTATAATATGACGAAAGGCGGCGTTGATGCTTTGGATGAAAAATGTACGGTTTACAGTTCGTCCAGAAGAACGCAACGTTGGCCAATGGCTATATTTTACAAAATACTATATATGAGTACAGTTAACGCTTTCGTTATGTATCAGTGTTATAGAGAATCCAAACCCTTAGACAGGAAAGATTTTATGAAGGTACCGGCTAAAAGCTTAATTAAAGCACACATGAAACAACGAATGTATAACAGCAGAATCCCTACAGAAATAAGAGAAAACATAAAGCGAATACTGTGCGTGGTTGAACCTCCTTCTATTCAAGAAGATCGGTTAGCAGTTCGAAAGTATTGCTACATTTGCCCATCAAAACTTCATAGGAAGATATCTTATTTATGCGTCTGTTGTAAACAACCAATTTGCTTGATTTGTTCTCATAAAATATGCAGAAACTATAACGTTCAAAAAGAATAAAAAAAAATAATCCCATTTTTTTGTCCTTATTTACCCCCTACACGTTCCGTTACGTTTAGACTACTGATGATAATTTTTATTACTATAGATTATTCAATATTTGTTATATCTAATATTAAAACCATTTGTACATACCAAATTTAGAAATATTAAAAAAAAATTAAGTTTTCCGACGTAACACCGTACTTTATTTATTTGCAACTTTTGACAAAAATGTTAATAATAAGAATAGTCAATAACAGAAAGAACTAAAAAGGCAATAGGATATTGCAAAAATGCCTAAAAAACAGATTATTATAAACAATGTGATAAAATAATTATTTAAATTTGAATGAGACCAGCATATTTATGATGAGTCCCGGAGACTCCACGTCACCGGTTATGTTCCTAAAATCGGACGTCACCGGTTACGAGTTAATTGTTTAGAAGCTAAATCTTAGAATATTCTTAACAATAATGGCATATAAACACACATACATATATAACAAAATATGGATAGTTTTGTCTTAAAGCAGGAATATCGATACGTCCTAATATACACTACCATTTAAGCAAAATAGAGACCAAAATACATATTAAATACAAATATAATTAAATTGCAAAAAAAACTTCAGCATTTGATGCAAAGAGCTCGTATAGAGTCTAACCCCAAAAACTTATTTTCTGAAATATCAAACTCAAACTATTCAATTTTTGGTTAATGGAATGAAGTCACTTGTTTAACATACTTAACAAATACAAATTATTGCTACTTCTTAAGATACCTTCTACATTACCGCATTTCTTTAAGTTGCTTTTAACCTTGACCAGTTCTTTGAAATAAATGGATATCCTTGCCTGCCCAGTCTTTTACAGTCTTCAACCACGAACACTTTTTTCTTGCTGGACGTCTTTTTTCATTTTCCCCCATTATAGGTCGTAGGAAATTGTCTTTTTCTCTTCTGTAATTATGTCCTAAATATGTCCTAGATAACCCGTTTTGTTGCTGTTTATAATGTTTAGGAATTACACCTCAGTCCTTATCCTTCTCAACACTTCATTGTTTGTCACATGCTCTGTCCAAGAGATTTTAAGCATCCTTCGAAAAACCCACATCTCAAACCTCTGTATTCGCCTCATACATGTAATTCCAAGAGTACAGTATGAAATAAATGAATGTCCTTACAAATAGAACATTGACACTTACTTGATAGGAATAAGTTAACAACACATCTTTATTTTTCTATAATTGAAAGATACAGTGTCCAAAGATAGAGTGTCCTAAAGAAATATCTAATGTTTTTGCTAAGTATCTAATTGATTCGGTAGAATTCATAGTTCCAAAAACTGGTCAATGGAATAAAGATAACCATACATTAACAAGACGTACACCTAATGAATCACTTTATTTTTGTCCAGTCATTGAAGAC